GAAGGAGCTGATTTGCTCTGGAACAGGCAGGGATGCACTGATGAGCCCTTGTAAAATCACAATTCTCTTAACAAATGCCCACAGCCTCAGAATTCCACCCTCGGACATATGCCTGGGTGGGTGAAGTCTGCGGGTGGGATGTTTGTGCTGGGAAAATAGGAAAGCAATCTATGGTGCAGCTTTCCAATCCCCACCTGGACTAACTAAACAGAAGCCTCGAGCCTTGATAATGGAGGTTGGGAATGCAGTCTCTTTCTCTCTCCTTCTTCCTTTTCCTTATTGGGAAAACTCCCTCCCTGTTACAGTAAACATTCTGCTCTGCTCATGTGTGCATTATATGGCAACTGGCCAACCCCATTCCTATATCTGCTCCTGAAGAGGAGGGGTAGGGTCCCTCAACTGTGGCATAAGAGGAGTGTGTGCAGAACACCAGCCCTGCACCCACGGCGGGGATGGAACCTGCTGGCCACGGGAGACAGGCGCCACAACTGACGCTGACCCGTGTCTGTCTCTTCTCTATGTGAGAACAGCACTGTTCCACTGCCTGTGTGTATAAGCTGTGCTTTTTATTGGTGACCCTGAACCCTGGCTCCACAGTTTGAGTCCTTGAACTCTTTGGAAAACCCAGAATGGCAACAATCAGCAGCAGCACTTTCACCCACAAAAACATATGTTGCCAGCTGCATTTCCAGTTCAAATTCTACCTTCTCAATGTAATTCTGTTTCTGATCAGATCTCTTTCGGTACTTGCCTTAGGCTGGGTTTTCTGGAGGAGCAAAAGCAGTGAAGCATATGTGTGTAAATATATAGAGAGAAAGATTTATTTCAATGAAATGGTTCACGCAGTTATGGAGGTTGGCAAGTCCTAAATCCATGGGTCAGAAGTCAGGCTGGAGGCTTCTCCTGACTCATGTGGTTGCAGGGGCTGATGAACCCAAAATCAGTAGGTCAGACAGCAGACTGCTGGCTCACTGGGCTGCAGGAGCCGGCGAATCCCAAAATCTGTAGGTCAGGCAGCAGGCTGCTGGCTCACGTCTCCAGAACCAGAGGTCAGAGGATGACAAGCTGGATGCAGGATTGAGAGAAAGCGAGCTTTGCCAGAACATCTATATATATTGGATGCAGGCCACACCCCTAAGGAAACTCCTCTTTCAACTGACTGGCTGCTCACATCAGATCACAAAATGGAGGATGATTACATAATATCTGCCAAACCACTGAGAAACATGGCCTAGCCAAGTTGACACATAAGTGTACTCTATACCTATACTACCCATTGGGCATTCTGTCCAGGAGTGCTACTTAAAAGATTTTACCGTTTGGTACATCCAGCATACATGGCATACTGCTGGAGAACTGGTATCCTTTTAAGTGGTGACACCACTTAAGAGACTCAGGACCTTTGTACTCCAACTTATACTCCATATATGCCTCAGAGTCCCTCCCTAGAGCCTGATTCCCCAGCCTAGTTAGCGTCCAAGGCTCCCATCCAATCACCTATCCACCACATTCCTTATTCCTCCTCAGTCTTATCTCGGCTTAGTCCTTTCTTCTCCAACCAACACATTTTTCTTGCTTTCTTTATATACTTGTCAATTCCTTACTCTGTTCCCTTGAGAAAATTATTGCCTCCACTGGGAATACTCTTTCCCCTTCTTTCTACCAATCTACTGTCATGACCTATCTCTTTGAAGTCTTGGCTTGGAACTTCCTAACTAGAGGAAGTCTTCTCAGACCAACCACGAATTGGGTATATTCACTTTTGTACTATATATTTGCTGTGTTTATGTTATCCCTCTGGTCACGAGGTTGAACCTTCAAGGATAAGACTATTAATCCTCAACGTCTTCCCTGATTTTGGCCTAATACGATGCTCTGCACACAACAGATGTTCCATGAATATTTATGAACTAAAAGATGTTCAATAAGCATATGTTAGCAAGGGATAAGTATTTCCACTTAAAACACAGCTAAGTTTGTGGATCCACTTTTGACACACAATAAATTGACAATGGAGATAAGTAAGAGTGATAAGCAAAACACTGACTGGCCACCACTTAGCCTCTGCCACAACCATTCCTACTACTTCTTGACCAATAACAATAGAAGCTACCACCTGATAAATGCATACTCTTCGCTAAGCACTGTATATACACTGTGTCATTTAATCCTACGAGATAGAAATGATTATATTATTCTATTATTAGCGTTTTGCAGAGGAAAAAACTGAGGCTTAGAGAAGTTAAGCAACTTGCTCAAAAATCACATTTTAAGTGGCAGGTCTGCTTTTCAAATCAGTCTCTCTGATGTAAACGTTAGGAGATACGGAGCTAAGAGGAAAGGATGGGAAAAGGGTGGGGAGGAAGACAGATGAAAAAGAAAAATCCCCGGGTCACATTTTTCAGAGCTCTTTCCTGTCAAATCTTCCTCCATCACTGTGGTGGATGCAGTTCCCAGCTCCCTCCTCCAGGATCGAGGCACTTGCTCCCCAGTGCAGCAACAACTGGCTCACAACTGAGTCCCAACCTGGAAACTGTCTTTGGCAGAAGGGAGCTGCCTCACCCAAGGTTATAGCCCTACTCCAAGACTGGTGGGGATCAGGGTGCAAATACTTGATATCTTAATCTTAATTGGGTTGGAACATCATTTTAGGGCTAACACAGCTTCAGTGCTCCACACGGCATCAGCTGAGGCCTCTGTTACAGCAAAATCACAACTCAACTTCTACCCCTGCCCAATCCTGCCCCCTTCCGTCCCTCCCTTATGTTTGTTTTTCGTGAGGGCACTCCCTAACGGGTCTCCTACAGGTGACTCTCTGCCTCTGAGTCTATTTCCCAGGCGGGCACCTGCCTAGAAACTAACCACTAAGTGAAGACATGGAGAGCCACTAACATACTAACCAGGAGTGAAAAGGGTGGAATCAGGGCCCACAGCCTCTGCTCTAACTAACACCAGGAGAGAGATGCTGGAGAGTCACATCCAAATGGCCTCAGTGTTGGCCATGAAAAACAATTGCAAAGTGGCCAGAGCCTGTACTGTTCCCTCTCCACCCTGATGCTCCAGTTGCTGGCCTTCCCTTCCCCTCACCCTTCAAGTACCAGAACCCCAACACTCTCTTCCTTCTCTCCTCTTTCCCAAACTCTACCTTCAGGAAAGGATTTGCTGAACTCAATCACACAAAATGAAAATTACTAAAATTAGTGTAGTACTGCTTGGGATTTCAAATAAGCTAATGCTTTTAAAGTTTAAACCAAAGGAAGAATATCGTCTTGGTTTCCTAGCGCTGCTGTAACAGAAATACCACAGCTAAGTGGCTTTAAAGAACAGAAATTAGCTTTCTTACAGTTGAGGAGGCTAGAAGTCCACATTCAAGGCACCAGCTACGGGGAAAGGCTCTCTCTCTGGCGTCCTTGTCTCCGCTTCTCTAGCCCCAGGGTTCCTCAGTTCCTTGGGATGATCGTCACATGTGCTGCTTCTGTCTTCTGCAGTTCGTGCTCCCTTCTCTCTGTGTCTATGCTGCTCTTTATAACTCAGCAGTGATTAGGTTTAAGATACATCCATCACTGATAGGACCTCATTAGCATAACAAAGAAAACCGTACTCCCAAATGGGATTACACCCACAGGTAAAGGGGTTAGGATTCGAACACATATATTGGAGGGGGCGGGGGCAGAATTCAATTCACAACAAATATGTACAGCAAAATTCCAAACGTTATGCTAGCTGGGTGGAAAGGAGTTGTGTTAGCTTGGAGGTGACCATCTCAGCCCTTTGGAACATGATCCTAACTGGTGACTCGACGGACCCCTGGGATCTTCACTGTCCCACGGTGTCCCAGGTGCCATGTGGGTGGATCAATTCTATACTGATACTGTGGAGCCACTAGTAGTTGAATAATTACCACACTGCAACAAGAGCAAACATCTATGGGTAGCCGCCTCTGTCCCCCAGGACTAGGTGAAAATCTAGAGTCTTTATATGGAGCTGATTTTACCAGAAAAACAAACAAATAAGCAATCAGCTCCCCTTCCACTCAAGTCAAAAGCACATGAAAAGCCTTTTTTAAGATACTAGATGTTTCAAAAGAGACAGCAGCCTTTAAAGTCACTCCTCCCTGCTATTCAGCAAAGGCGCATTTACCTACTTTTGGACACAGTCAAGATGAAGTGGCACGTAGGAAAAATTCACCAGGTGGGGCTTTGCTACAGGATATCTACTCTCTAGCTGAATGATTCTTTATGTCTACTGGAGAAGAAAAAAGATACAACACTTTGCTTCTAATATCTCATGTCTCAGAAACGAATACTAGAGTACAGCTCGGTTCGTCACAGATTAATATATAAAGCTACGAGGCAGCAGGCTCAGTGGAATTGGTGACAATGGAGATGCAATGACTAAGAATTCTAATTGCTGCTTTAAAAAAAAATGTTGCCGTTGAGTTGATTCTGACTCATGGTGACCCCATGTGTGTCAGAGTAGAACTGTGGTCCATAAGGTTTTCAACGGCTGATTTTTCAGAAGTAGATTGCCCCGCCTTTCATCCGAGACACCTCTAGGTGGACTAGAACCTCCAACCTTTCAGTTAACAGCTGAGCACTTAACCATTTGTGCCATCTAACTTTGCCTTAACTGCTGTTTACTGCCTTTATAGGAACCTCCATATGTCACTTAAACCTCAGTTAAAAAAAAAAAAAGTGAGATTAATAAGAGTTTGCTATCAGGTATAATTAATAAAATACACAGAATAGTCTATCACACATTGTTCATTAATAATTCCCAAAGATAATCTAAGCTCTCCCTTTGGCAGTACAAATTTAGCTTTTTTAATTTGGCAGACACGTTTTCATTAACAAAAATGTAAGATGTTAAATACTTAGATGAGAGTTCTAAATGCACACACATACATACCAGGAAAGCTACTGCAGAGAACAGTGTGAAGTATGACTCACCTGTGATCATGAAGGAGGCTTTAAGGTATAAAGAACTCTAGGATAATTTACCTTGATATACTTCCACAGATGACTGAGCATGGTTCAATGTTGTGCAAGTACCGAATAGCTTTGGATGTTCCAATTAGTATGCTGATTCGAATGTGCCAAGAGAGTGGGGCCGTTTTACCCTAAAAAGACAACAGTAATTGGTTTGCTTGCATTTTCTGAGTTAAAACTATGTATGTACGTATTCATTATACAGAAGTGTGCTAGAACAGAACCAGATAATGATGAGGAAGTGAGGTTGGGTGAATCAACACTTTGGTGTGCCATAACTTTTTTTTTTTTTTTTTAACATTTTACTTTGCTTTAGGTGAATGTTTACAGAGCCTATTAGTTTCCTATTCAACAATTTATACACAAACTGTTTCATAGCATTGATTGCAATCCCTGCAGTGCATCAGCACTCTCCCCCTTTCTACCTCAAGCTGTTTCCATTCCTCTGGTTTCCCTGCTCCTTCCTGCCTTCTCACCTTTGCTTTTAGGCAGGTGTTGCCCACTTGGTCTAACTTTTCCAAGAAACATACTCCTCACAGGTGTTATTGTTTGTTTTATAGATCTGTCTAACATTTGGCTGAAAGGTGAACTTCAGGAGTGGCTTCAGTTCTGAGTTAGAAGGATGTCCAGGGGCCATAGTCTTGAGGGTTCCTCTAGTCTCTGTCAGACCAATAAGTCTGGTCTTTTTTGTGAATTTGAATTTTGTCCTGTATTTTTCTTCCGCTCTGTCTGGGACCCTCTACTGTGATCCCAGTCAGAGCGGTCTATTCGGTGGTGGAAGCCGGGCATGGTCTAGTTCTTCTGGTCTCAGGCTGGTGGAGCCTGTGGTTCCTATGGTCCATTAGTCCTTCGGACTAATTGCTTCCTAGTGTCTTTGGTTTTCTTCATTCTGTCACAACCTATTTTTAATTCCAGATGAGTTTTCCTCTATTTCCAGTAACGGCTGTAGGCCCCTTTAGAGACAACAGAAATACCAAATAATTTCAATATTAGCTTTATCAAAACATGGTTAGTGAGGTAACTACGCACAGAAGTTCATTAAATAAGATTTTTAAATTATATATATTGTGGCACAATAGTGTGTGTAGTTGAGAATAATCTGCTTTTATTCTCTTCCTAACTAAAACAATCTATTCAGAATTGATTTTTAAACTTATCCTTCAAAAATATCGTGTGAAGGCTGATAGCCTACATAAGCCACAACTTCCACTATCCTGAGACCAGATGAACTAGATGGTGTCCAGCTACCACCACTGACTGATCTGACCAGGGTCACAGTAGATGATCCCAAAAAGAATGGGAGAAAAATGTAGAACGAAACTCAAATTCTTAAAAAAGCCCAGACTAACTGGACCCCAGAGACCACAGGACTCCTGAGACTATTCCCCTGAGACACTCTTTAAACCTTGAACCGAAACTATCCCCTGAAATCACCTTTTAGCAGAAAAGCAGAGTAACACAAAAATAAGGGCTATTACTCGTTGGATCACTGCTTTACTAAAAAACCATCTGTATGAGTACAAAAGGTCAACATTTAATCTAAAGCAAATATGAGACGATAAGGGGGCAGGGGAACTAGAGTACTGGAAATGAACCACCAGAACATAATTAAAGAGAATGTTGACACATTGTGAAAACTGTAACTAATGTCATTGATCGATTTATGTGGAAATTGTCAAATGGGAACCTAACTTGCTGTGTAAGTTTTCACCCAAAACACAATAAAATATTATTTAATAAAAAAAATCTTGTGAGAAATCATGGCGTTCTTCAACCTCCTCTTCTTTCAGGAGTCTGCATCACCTTTCTATCTATATTTTGTATTGAGCGATATTTTGCATAAGGTCATACAAATAAAAATTATCTGGGAAATAAGGGTAGTTGCTGTGAATTCACTAGAGGTATAGAATCAATAATGAGTAAGGGTTAGCGAATTTTTGGCAACCATGTGGCACAACACAGAATAACTCAGATATTTATGGAGGCTTTTAAGAGTAAGAAGTTAATTCATGGAGAAGGGCTCTACGCTCTACTTCCTTGGAAAATCCATCCTTGGCTGTCCCCTCATGTGAACACACTTTGGCCTCCCAGCTCGCTCAGGTTTCTCACAGCTCCCCTGGGGTTACAGAGAGTCAGAGGACCAGGCAGAGCAATAGATATGACTTACCACACACTGTAATCTGTCAAAAAGTGATCCATTTCTCATATATGGATAAACCAGACAGAACTTCTCAGTCTCTGTAAAATACGCAGCCAACTCCAGTATGTTTGGATGATGAAACCTTGAAACAAAAGTTTTTGAAATAGGAAATGAATGATTCTCTGGTTTGGGGGGTAGGAGGGGATGGGGAATGAGTCTAAAGCAGGATACAAATTTGGCCAAGAGAGAAATAATCCCATTGGACCCATTACACAGAGATACGCTTTCCAAATTGGTCTAAAGAGTTCTAAAAATACTAGGTACTCTTTTTGATTGATTGTGGTCATGGAAATATAAATAAAATATCCAAATGTAAAACAGAAAATTTAAAGAAAGTGAAAACTTTTAAGATTTAGGATGTTGGGAACTTTACAAAAAAGACAACAATATGACTTATTTATTAAATGAATATGTTAAAGATAATGCAACCAGAATTATTCACTTCATTGCTTTAGGCATGCATGTGTAAGTAAATGAACCAAAATAGAAGGAAACAGAGACGTCTTCATTAAACATTTATTGAGCACTACTGTGTCAGGTGGGGCGCTGGTGCGCTACAGTGGTTAATAGCTATGGCTGCTAACCAAAAGGTCAGCAGTTCGAATCTACCAGCTGCTTCTTGGAAATCCTATGGGGCAATTCTACCCTGTCCTATAGGGTTGCTATGAGTCGGGAATCGACTGGACCGACTGGACAGCAATGCTTTTTTTTTTTTTTTTTTTTTTGGTACTATGTCAGGTACTGTGCTAGGTGCCAGTCATACGGTTAAAAGAGACATTCAGTATCTTCACCAAATTTCATAATCCATATGACTAGTAAAGTTTGATGCTGTAAAAAATATCACTAATTTTAAGTCACAGATTTCTATGTTACTATACATTGTAAACCCTGGTGGTGTAGTGGTTAAGAGCTACAACTGCCAACTGCTAACCAAAAAGCTGGCAGTTCAAATCCACCAGGTGCTCCTTGGAAACCCTATGAGGCACTTCTAGTCTATCCTCTAGGGTCGCTATGAGTCAGAATTAACTCGATGGCAATGGGGATTTATAGTATACATTCCTCCGGCTCCTTTCTAATAATAATTTATTAGCTTATTAACAAAAAGGAGCCCCAGTGGCACAGTGGTTAAGAGCTCAAATCCACCAGCCACTCCTTGGAAACCCTATGGGGCAGTTCTACTCTGTCCTATAGGGTCACCATGAGTCGGAACTGACTCAATGGCAACAGGTTTGGTTTTGGTTTTGGATTAACAAAGACTCTATGTCTTGAATGAATGTGTCATCACTATAGAGACCAATGGAACCGTGTGACAGCCATGAAATACAAAATGTGAAATTCACACACACTGTGCACCCAGTTCAATTCAACAATTAGTTATTGAACATCTACTATGTTTTGGCATGTTTGGGTATATTAAAATAATGCTGTTTAAAAAAAGGTTTGAAATATAGATCTATACTTCGTCTCTTCAGTAGCAAGACTTTCCTATAAACAACACCTGCACAAACACAGGTCAGAAACTTCGGTGACGAGATCCCTACACCTATTATGACTCAGATCATATCTATAAGTGAGCTGAAAAATGGACTGAAAAAGGAATGGAGCTGGTGTATCTGGCTGTCTAAACAACTGATCTATTCCACTGGCTGGTTGATTCTCTTGCAATTTAAGACAATTCAAAGAGAAAGAAATCTTTTGGAAAGCAGTAGATAGAAGACTTCATACAGACACAGCCACAGTCCGGTGCTCTGATTTCTTGCTCACAGAGCAGAAAGGACCCATTGCTTCTTTTAAAATATTACTGATCAAGCAGAAAAATGGATACTCCAGGAGTTAGCAAGGTATGGGACACAGAGATGCCATGAAGACAGATTGTGGGTTTTGGGCCTATGGACTCACCCTATCCACCCTTTTGCTACCAATTTTTAAGATCAGCAGGACTTTAGATTACACAGACCTGAAGGTTAGCAAGATCTGATACTTTCTGAAATCGATTCCATAAATATTTTTTAGTGCCTACTACAGACTGAATATGGCATAAGGCACCATGGTATGGCAGAGTAAGCCGACTTGAGTAACAGGCAAATCTGGGTTTGAATCTCTGCTCTTCTTTTTATCAGCTGTGTGAATTTGGGAAGTTATTTAGCTTCTCTGAACCTGTTAACTCAAATGCAAATAGTATTTAAGACGCCAACTTCCCGAGGTTCTTACGAAAATTAAATGAAAGGTAAAACTTAGATGAGTGCCAGATGCTAAAGGGTTTACAATACTAAGTCATAGAGTTTAAGTGATTGTCTTAATATTAAACCAGAAATACTCATCCTTCAGGTCAGCTTAGATGTTACTTCTTTCAAGAAGCCTAATCTGCTGCTCCCCTACCCCTAGTCCAAGTGATCACTTCCTCTTTCTTCCAAGCTCTGTACTTCCTCATTGCATCAGTTAGCTTACTGAAATTGCCTGTTCACACACATACTTCTTTCCCAACCCCACTCCAGAAGGTATGCTTCAAGAGGGCTGTGTCTGCCTTATTCACACCTAAATGTCTAAGAAGAGGAAGAAGGAAGATGATTTAAGAAATGATCTACCTCAGTTTCCACATCTGCAAAATGGGGTTAATAACAGTACTTACTTCCTAGGGTTGTAATGATGATCAATGAATTAATACATGTAAAGAACTTAGAATAGTGCCTAAGACTAAAACATGAGCGAAATAAATAATAATAGCACACCAGGAATATTCAATATCACAAAGTTGTCAATTCTCCCTAAATTAATTTATAAAGTTAATACAATTCCATTTAAGAAAAACAACAAGATTGATTTGTTACCTAGACAAGCTGTTGTTATAATTTATATGGAAAATATCTCACCAGAATAAATCCAAACGGGTAAGGTACATAAATGTAAATATAATGAAACTACAAAAGCACTAGGAGAAAATGGGTGAATTATTTTATAACCTCTTAGTGGGGAAGGCCTTTCAAACTATAAAATGGATTAGATACTTAAATGTAAAAAATGAAACCATAAGAGTACTAGGAAAAAAAAAGCATGGGGGTGAATTATTTTATAACCTCCTACTAGAGAAGTCCTTTAAAATTATGATATAAAACCCAGAAAAGAATGAAGAGATAAATTCAACTATATCAAAACCATCTCTATAGGGCAGAAACTAGAATTAGCAAAGGCAAAATGACAATCTGGTAAAAAAAAATTATTTGCACCTCATAATATAAAAAATAGGGCTAATTATCTCTAATATATAAAATGTTCCAACAGTCTAATTACAAAAGGGGGCGAGGGCAAAACATATTTTAACATAGTTCACAGGAAAGGAAATACATCTTTTAAATGTATGAAAAGACTATTAGTCTCACTTATAAAAGACAAAGAAATTTAAACTACACTGAGAAACCAGAATGACAAAAATTAAAAGGTAAGAATACACACTAGCTTGGCAAGAATGTGGGGAACAATGCACTCTCATATATTACTGGAATAAGTGTAAACTGGTATGACCTGTACTGGAGGACAGTTTGGTAATACGTAATGCACATCATCATTTGAGCTGTAATTTTACTTATAGGAATTTATTTTATTGTACTTAAACATGTACAAAATAAGATATACACAAGGTTTCTTCATTTGCAGCGTTATTTTCTTAAACAATAAAAGAGAAGAAAAAATTTTCAATCCATCAACAAAAAACAGTTAAGTAAATTAAAGTAAGAATACAACAAAGTACTAAAATAAGCAAAGTGAACTGTGTGTGTATGTATATGCTACCTCTTGTATGAAAAGAAAATAAGAAAACAAAATACATATTTCCTTATGCATAAAATATAATCTGGGAAGAGATACAAGAAACTGATCACACTGTTGTCTTTGGGAAAATCAACTGGATAGCTGTATGATAACAGTGGGAGAAAATCTTTTCTCAGTTTACCTTTCCCACTTTTCAAAGGTCTGACTCTCTTATTTATTTGTAAACAAATAAAGCTTAAAATAAAAATGCTCCACTATTACAATTTTAGTATTAGTTTTTATATCAATGAACTGTTATTGTTATGGATTGAACTGTGTCCCCGAAAAATGTGTGTTGTAAATCCTAACCTCTATGCCTGTGGTTACAATCCATTTGGGAATGGGTTGTCTTTGTTACATTAACTAGGCAGGATTAGTGTAGGGTGTATCTTGAGTCAATCTCTTTTGAGATATAAAAGAGAAAAAATGCAAGCTAGCAAGACAGATGCCAAGACACATGGAGATATCCAAGGAACCAGGAAGTAGCAGCTAAAGGGACAAGGACCTTCTTCCAGAGCCAACAGAGAGAGAAAGCTTTCTCCTATAGCTGGCACCCTAAATTTGAATTTCTAGCCTCCTAAACTGTGAGAAAATAAATTTCTGTTTGTTAAAGTCATCCATTTGTGGTATTTCTGTTATAGCAGCACCAGATAGCTAAGAGAGGTATATGTTAAGTTTTTAAGATAAGTACCTTTTGGTTTTTGGTCCTGAATATAAAAAGAGAGGGACTCAGCATAATGCTTTCTTCCCCCACTCCACATATTGGTTCAGAAAACATCTGAAAAGAGCATTTTTTCTTGGTAAAGGGTAATGAGTGAATTCTATAGGGTTAGCGGCCTTTGATGAAGCAGGCTGCACAGCTTCAGATATGAATATATATGAAAATGAAGTCATTTTAATTTGTCTCCAAGGACTCTTAGACTCATAAATGAATTCCCAGAAAATAATATGCACATCAAAAGCACTTGATTCCTTTGTCTGAAACTCTCTTTCTGAAAAGGACTATAATGATGAAACAGTTTCTGGACTGGAATGTTCTAAGGATGATTTTACATTCAACCATGTTAGTCACACATGATTTAATCCACTTCCTTGTGACAGTTTCAATGTTCTTGTTAAAATATATTCAAGTGAATTATGTAAATGGTCTATTTAAAAATGTATTTTAAGGAATGTACTAAAGCAGATGTCAAAAATTTACCCAGAGTTCTAACATCTGACCCACATTTATTAAATACCAACCATGCCAAGCACTGTGCTGTAGAATCAAACACGAACAAAGATGAAGACCAGGCAAAAAGAGCAGGAAATTCCAGACAAAATATACTCACAGTAATAAAACCTCAAGCTCAGATAAAAACTTCTTCCACTGTTTCTTACATTGCATTTTTTTCTCCTACATATCATATAAAAAGAAAAGAAAAAAGTTAAGAAGAGAATCTCTATTTCTGGGATTCTTAAGCCAGGGTCCATGGTCTCCCTGAAATTATATGCACATTCTGATGTACGTGCATATGAACATTTTTCTAGGGAGAGGATCCTTAGCTTTCATCAGATTTTCAAAAATCCATTAATGCCCAAACAGATTCAGAACCACTGCTCTTGAATTTAAAGTTTTTCATATAACTTAAAACATTGCCAAATTTTATATTCAAACTCTCATCATATTTTGCAAACATTTACATAAATTCAGAAACATTATATGTATTCAAAGAAAATCCTATGACAGAAACTCCCCCACTTGATCTTACAAAGAATCTAACTCACGATGGCTATATTTTGGTTAGAAGTGGCAACTTCTATGAGATTTGCCACTGCTGCAAATTTTCACTAATTTTGCATTTGGGGGTCATTTGAATATGCAGGCTCAAGTTCATCTTTGCATTAATTTTGAAAAGACAGGTTCATGACGCAAATGAAAAATACATCCCCTTACTTCAAAGAAGCTTCAGAAGCTAGTCCAGAGACTGACGCATGAATTTTTACTGAATAAACGGTGAATTCAACACCTACTCTATACCTGGCACTGTTCTCCATACATACTTTAATACACTTGTGTCCCTGCATGTTTCTTGGCCTCAGGTTCCTAACCTCTAAAACAAAAGAGAAAGGGTTAAACTTAAGTATGCTGCTGAGGGCAGTGGTAGAACTCTCGCCATCCACGCAGGAGATCCAGTTTGCCGATGCACCTCATGCACAGCCGCCGCACGTATGTCAGCGGAGTCTTTCATGCTGCTGTGGTACAGGTTTCAGTGGAGCTTCTAGACTAAGACAGACTAGGAAGATCTACTTACTGAAAAACCCTGTGGATCACAATGGTCAGATCGGCAACTTTGACTCATAGGCAGCTAACAAGTATGCTCCTAGGTCCCATCTATCATTTGACAATTGCTAGAGAGGGCAGAGTGTTTAGAACCCTATTCTCAGGAATATTGGAAGAGAAATCCAACAGGAATTCTGGAAACTATTTTCCAAGTGAAGCCAAGAAGTCAGAAACAATAAGCTAGGCTAACAAACAATTTTCAAGAACCACTTGATCAGAATTTACATTTTAAAAGAGCATAGATCTAGGAGCCAAAAGGATCATGTCTCAGTCCCATCTCTAGGTATTCAGGACTTTTTATCAGCTACTTATTAATCTTGCTAAGGTCATAGTTTTCTTCATCTGAGAAATGAAGGGGCTGGCTTTATTTATGCTAACGTAGCACTCTAACACGTTGCTGCTCAAAGTGTTATCTGTGGACAAGGAGCATTGACTTCACTGAGAGCTGGTGACAGTGCTGAATCTCAGGCCCCTCCCCAGACGTGATGCATCAGAATCTGCATTGGAAGAAGAGCCCCAGGTGATTCAGGTATATATTATGGCAGAGAAGCAAGGCTCTAACACAGTCTGGTGTATTTTACCAGCTTGGTCCCTCTAAGAAGGGTTATTGAAGTTAATGTCCCAATATTACAAAATTGTACTTCTTTAAACACTACTCTGTGTCTGCGGCTTCATTAAATCTTTCCTGATAAGTGTGTGTGTGTGTATGCATGTGTGTGTGTGTGCGCGCATATATGTGTGTTCAGGCAAAGGAGGGGGTGGAGATAAAAGCAGAAGTCAAAAGTCCAACCATACTTTTATTTACCAACTTAAAAGGGAGTTAAAAGACAGTGTGGGAACAGTCTATTTGCTCCTAGTGATTAGCAACTAAATTCATGAAAAGGGCATATGTGCTTCATTCAATGCATCCAACAAACATTTATTGAGAAACTGCTATGGACCAGGCCCTGCAATAAGGCAGTGGGACACAAAGATAAATAACAGCTCTTCGAAGAACTGAACAACCTAGTCCATTGGGAGAGGTGGTTGAGAAAATCAATACTATAACATAATGCTGCCATGCTGTGACTACACATAGGAGAGGCACCAAACCAGACTGGGGTTGGGGGGTCAAGGACAGTCACAGGAAGGGATGGGGATCTTGAGACAATGGCATACCATTCTGAAGCCAGACTTGTGGAGAGAAAACTCCCAGAGTGTGACTTGGTGGTAGCTACAGAGAGGAGAGGAAAGTGGATGGAGCCTTTGGGGAGGCATCCTTGGGACTCATCCATAAGGAGTGTACAGATGGGGTCATGGACCCTCTGATCCTAAGAAACAGGCTTCTGTAGGCTACTTGTATATTAACCCCATTTTATCTGGTGAATGGTTTTACCAATAGATTGTTCCGTTTCATTATTAGATCTCTCACCTCTCAGGAGTCTTGAATGCCTATAAAGTGGAAAACCTTTGTATCTCTACTCTGTGTACCTCACAAATCTCCCCTTCTCTGATTGCGAAGTCTTTGTGAACATTTTTGGTTCCTTCTATCGTGTTTTGATGGAACAAATCTGTCTTGGAAGAAGTACAGCCAGAATGCTCCTTAGAAGCAAGGATGGTGAGACTACATCTCATATAGTTTGGACATGTTATCAGGAGGGATCAGTCCTGGGAGAAGGACATCATCCTTCGTAAAGTAGAGGGTCAGTGAAAAAGAGGAAGACCCTTAACAAGATGGATTGACACAGTGGCTGCAACAATGGGCTCAAGCATAACAATGATAATGAGGATGGTGCACGGCCGGATAGTGTTTCGTTCTGTTGTACATAAGGGCTGTGAGTTGGAACCAACTCGACGGCACCTAACAACAACAACATCATATTTTCAAAGAGTGAAGTAAAATCCAATTTGGGGGAACAGAAAAACTCAGTTAATAATAATAATAAAAAGACCCTATATCCTAAGCTGGAAGCTAGGGAACACCTGAGATCCCTCCTTGCCCCACTTTCCTAAACCTATCCAATGGATCACCAGATTTGGTCCTTTCCCCTCATCTCTTAAACTTATCTTCTCCTCACCATCCTACTGCCTCTGCCCTGACTTACAGTGGTTTTCAACACTGGCTACACATTTGAAGGACCTGGGAAGCTTTTAAAAAATACAGCTGCCTGCCACCACCACCCCCATTCTGACTTAACCAGATGCTTCTATTGGGTTCATTTTTTAAAAGCTCCCTGGGTGATTCTAATGTGCAGTTAGGGTTGGAAATGACTGGTTTAAGCTCTATCCATTTCTTAGTTTACACATTTGAAATACAATTCTACTAGATCTTTCTGCCTCCAGTCTAGTTCTTGTCATCTTCCCCCCTGCCAAGTTCCAGTCCATCATCTAATCTGGGACCAAAGTTATATTTAAAAAACACAAATCTAGGCCTTTCACTCTCCTACTTTAAAACCATCCACTGACTTAATTTATCTCTCCAGCATCATCTTCTGCCACTACTTCCTCCACCCCCACACTACACTCCAGATACACCGAATGATTTGTTATTCATAAATAAGATGTACGCTTTGATACATGCACGTCTATGTCTTTGCACCTGCTAAGAAAGGATTTCCCCTAGAGCCTCTGGAGAGAGCATGATCCTGCTAACACCCTGAATCCAGACTTCCATCCTCCAGCACTGTGAGAGAATAAATTTCTGTCATTTTAAGCTACCAACTTTGTGGTACTTTGTTATGTCAGCCCCAAGAAACTAATACAGCTGTCTTCTAACCTCCTATTCTGATTGTTGGCTTACTGCTCCTACTTGAAGCTTTCTCCTTCCCACCCTCCTGAACTGTCACAGAAGGCAATTTATAACCTTAAGCAAAGTCCCAGAAGTCCCACAAGGTTTGTTGGAAAAATATCTCTTATGCAGTACATCTGGGTCTGGGAAGGATTTAACTTCCACATTCCTGCAAAATAGGCATTCATTTCTTAGTCATCTCTCCAGATACCTAAGGTCATATATCTTATTTCCATTTATGACACTTTATTTTAAAATACACCTCCTCCCAATACTGGTGAAAAAAATGACACATTTTAATATGAAATATGAGCAAATAAATGGAATTGATTTCCTGTAATAGTAATTCTTTCCATACCTGCTTAAATAATTTAATGGCATATGCTCGGTTTTGAATCTCCACTCTGTATACCTCAAACATCTCCCCTGCTCCTATTAGGAAGTCTTTGTGGAAATTTTTGGTTCCTTCTATGATGTTCTGAAAGCTGACGGAGGATCTGTGTAACATTCCTTAGGAAGAAACGCCAGGAGAAGCTAAGTTACTTTTTCTGTTTTAAGAATCTAAGCCATCATGATAAAGAACCAAGACTAACATATTAGAAACAGCCCAGTTGTAGGTCAGCAAAGGAGGGCCCAGGAACCATAAGTGAAGCCCCCTAAGGGGACAGATGCCCACATGCTCTCTGCACACTGACTGGGTCTGGGTCCCAGTATTCCACAGAGCTAGTGGCATTTCAGATATCTGAACAGTAGCATTGTGATTCTATCACTTCTCCAAAGAGATTAGCCAAAAAACTTAGTTGGGAAAACTTTTCCAAGATTCTGTTTCCTTATTAAGACAATGTATCACTCTTGACTCACTATGAACCTAAAACCAATAAGAAACTAAAGAAGTAGAAATCTTGATTTGCCTAAACAATATTCTCCAAGCATGACTTACAGATATCACTTTTCATGAGCTAAATTCTCTAAATGCCTAACTTACTTCCTCAGAGTAAATTAGGAAGCTGCTTCCATTTTTTCTTTTTCAATCATCCAAAGTGGAGATTGGGGAAAATATTTAAAAGGTAATCAAATACTAATTCAAAAGAATAAGCTCGGCTAAATCCTTCAGAGTCCAAGTTTGGTTATATTTCCACGACTAATACAAAATATTCTCTAAAGACATTTAATGTTTAGTTTAAACCTTATTGCTGAAGAACTAAAACCTTATCTAACTTTGCTAATTCTCTTTTGAACCAAAGAAGCAACAATCAGACCTGGTGGCTAAGATTAGGTAAGGTAGCCTTAAATAGTCATTTAATTTTATCAGAATAATTCCCAGGAGGGACTAAATTATTCTCCCTGCTAATAAAGTAGGAAAGTTGACATGGAAAATGTGGGGTTTACAGTAACTTTACCTAAAGTAATTTGGTTTTTGTCCTTGGTTCCTGAGAAATAACTCTAAAACCTCAGAATTTCCTGAGTAATTGAGGTGCCTCTGTTATATACGGTAAAACCTGTGAAAGGTGGAACCTGTGTAAGGCAGAAACCTGTCAGACAGGGAAAACTCAAATATTTTCCACTAAAACAAGCATTAGAAAAGTGGCAAGACTGCACCTGGTCAAAGGCGGAAAACTTGTGAGACCCGGAAAAACAAAGCAGTTCCATCAAGTTCCGGCTCTCAGAGGTTTCATGTATAGGCCTCCAGACCAGACCTGAGAATTTACGCTAATGAGGTGACTCAGGTAGGGGCTGGCCAGGACAGAAAGACCACCTCCTGATATCAGCTGACCTCAGGGGAAGTAGGCTGATTCAATCAATCATGACTACATAAAGGCTCTGGACGCAGAAGCTCCCTGTGCTTTCTGGTTGGTAAAAGACATCGATGCAAGTGGGAGGGTACACTGTCCTTTTTTGGGACATGGAAGCTCTGCATTGGGAGCCCTCCCAGACCTCACTCTATGTGTCTCTTCATTTTATTGTTTTTCCTATAATACATCTGTAACCATCAGTGCAGCACTTTCTGTGAGTTCTATGGGTCATTCTATCGAATTATCGAACCTGAGTAGCGGGAGCCAGCAGATCAAAAGTGCGGAAGGTTGGGGACCCTTGAGCTTATGGCTGGTACCCTAAGGGGATAGAGGGAACCCCTGAATTTGTAGCCAACAGGTCAGAAGTGTTGGGGGTAAGGGACCCCCCAAGCTTGTGGCTGGTGTCTGAGGTCTTGGGCAGACTTGGCGGTCTGGAGGACTGACCCAGCTCTGAGTGGTTAGTGTCAGGGGAAGAAGTACTGCATCTGCAGCTAGTGTCAGAACAGAAGTGGAACAGAATTGAATTGATTATATTGATCCTCAACAGTTTCGTCAGAGAAGTGAAAGTGGAATTTTTTTGATTTTCCACACAGAAAATAACTAGATTTTCATACTGACCCTCAGCCTTGCTCTGTAATCATTTCTAGAGATCCTTGTAATTGCTATACAATTTTCTAAAACTATTTAAGACCCAATGTAATTTTTAAAATATTTTCCTATGACACATAAAAACAGTAAATTTCATTAATATATAATAGGAAATCCCACTAAGTGAAGAGACCACAATTATGTTACTTATTTGTCAAACATCAGTCAGGGAGCCCTGGTGGCACAATGGTTAAGTGTTTGACTGCAAACCAAAAGGTTGGAGGTTCAAACCTACCAGTGGCTCTGTGGGAAAAAAGACCTGGCAAGCTGCTCCCATAAAGATTACAGCCTAGAGAACCCTATGGGGGCAGTTCTACTTTGTCCTATAGGGTCGCTATGAGTTGGAATTGATTCCACAGCACGCAACAACAATAAATGTCAGTCAATATTAAAAACACTTCAGTATCTACAAAAATTTTTGGACTGAATCTGCATATTAATAAATAGACAACACGTTTATTGACATTACTCCTTTTAAATTCACTTAAAGGAAGGCATGATTTAAGAAAAGGTGGTTCTGTTTTTACCTTTTTCATTACGTTGAGGAATTAGAACATTATCCACTGTAACAGTTGCTGTTTCCTACGAGAAGAAAACATACTAAAGTAATTCCATTTCATAAGTCTAGAAAGAAGAGAGACTCAAAAGAAATCCAAAGCTCCCCCTGGGACTATACAGTACAATAAAGTGGACTCTAATGTAGATGAAATCTAGTAAAAGGCAACATTCTTTCACTTTATCCAACAGCATTCATTACCATGTACATTTAAGGCTTCCATACCAACTATAACAATTAAAGTATCAATGTCATGGTCCGTTATAATCAATTTTAAATGACATCTAATGCTATATAAATGATCACTGCTAATTTTCTCTAGTGAAAATGAATAGCAACATGCAAAACACTAAGTAGGACAGGAAAATTAAAATCTGAGTTAAGTCAAATGCATAACTCACAGCGCCCTTAATTGCTGTCGTAACTCTGAGAGATTACTGAAAGGAGAAAGTGCTTAACTCTTCAAACACTTAAGAATCTCTAATTCCCTGATTCCTTAGCTAAATAAAGAGGAAAGAGAGAACAAAGGCTTGTCTGGTTTTAAAAAAGGGTTCTGAAAATCCAGCAATTTCCTGTTTGATAATTTCATTATTATATATGCAGTGGAGTTCAAGGGTCATTATCTATGCACACACACTCTACCTTGGATGATATGTTTGGAAATTCATCTCCCTGATGACTCTGCTCTGAAGGATTCAAGGCTGCTCCTAAAAGAGAAGTAAAAAGATTTTTGCATCATATTCATAAGGGGCTAAATAAAAAAAAAAAATTTATGTCCCTAATAAACATTTTTATTAATAAGTACCTTGATAAAACCAAAACCAAACCCATTGCCACTGAGTTGATTCCGACTCATAGCAACCCTATAGGACAGAGTAGAACTTCCCTATAGGATATCCAAGGAGCTGCTGGCAGATTTGAACTGCTGATCTTCTGGTTAGTAGCCAAGCTCTTAACCACTGCACCACCAGGGCTCCAAATATCTTGATAGTAATATTCATTTCTCAAGTTCAGTTTAACTCTCATGGAATAGTTAACAAAACTACATATGTGAAACAGCTTTATTATGATCAAATATTATATAAACATATTTTTGTTCATTTAAAACATGAATATTTAAATTATTGCTGGAAATCACTGTAGACACTAAAGTATAAAGTAGAAAATTGAAAGGATAAAAGCAACATTGTTACTGGCTTTTTGCACATATAATTTAAATTGTACAATCATGGGATTATATTTTCCTGCCATAAAGTTATTAGAGGTGGTTTTGTGTGTGTGTGTGTGTGTGTGTGTGATTAACCACAAATAACCACCAACCATCCTGAAACTCAAGCCCGCTACCATTGAGTCAATTCCAAATCATAGTGACCCTATAGGACTGGGTAGAACTGCCCCATAGGGGTTCCAAGGCTGTAAATCCTCATGGAATCAGATTGCTACATCTTTCTCCTGCAGAGTGGCTGGTAGGTTCCAACCACTGACCTTAAAGAACCAGGGCTCCTTCCACCCATCCACAATTGTAGACTCTAACTGCATGTTTAGATTTCAGTCTGCAATGAGGTAGTCTATGTAGCTTCCTTTAAAAGATTAAAACCTGCCATATTTTGCTGTTATTTTTGACATTTCAATTCAGACTTTATAAAATTTTTGTTTTATCATCTAGTTTTTCTTAGATTACATTATAGTGTTTCTTAGATTGTTTTCTTAGAAAATTAGCAACAAAACATTAAAAATTACTAAGAAACCTCCTTGAACAACACTAGAAACTGACTAGACCCAACAGACATCCACATACTCAAAGTGCACATTAAATATTCTTCAGAATAGATCATATGTTAGGCCATACAATAAGTCTCAATAAATTTAAAAGGACTGAAATCAAACAAAGTATATTCTCTGACCACAAAGGAATTAAAGCAGAAATCAATAACAGAAGGAAAACTGGAAAACTCACAAATACATGGAAATTAAACAACAAACTCATAAATAACAGATGTGTCAAAGAAGAAATTGCAAGAGAAATTAGAAAATACTTTGAGATGACTGAAAATGAAAATACAATATACCAAAACTTATGGGATGTAGCAGAAGCAGTGCTTAGAGGGAAATTTACAGCTGTTAACATCTACATTCAAAAAGAAGGAATATCTTGAATTGATAACTTAACCTTTCACCTTAAAGAGCTAGAAAAAGAAAAGTAAACTAAATCCAGGCAAACAGAAGGAATGAAATAATTAAAATTTCAGAGGAAATAAATAAGAGGCTAGAAAAATAAAAGAGAATAAAATCAAAATTAGTTCCTTGAAAAGATCAATAAAATTGACAAACAGTCAGCTAGACTGACCAAGAAAGAAAGAGAGGGGACTCAAATTACAAAATCAAGAATAAAAGAGGAGACATCACTAACAACCTTAAAGAAACACAAAGAGATTGAAGTTGTCAAGGATTTCATTTTACTTGGATCCACAATCAATTCCATGGGAGCAGCAGTCAAAAAATCAAACGTCATACTGCATTGGGCAAAGCTGCTGCAAAAGACCTCTTTAAAGAGTTAGAAAGCAAAGATGTCACTTTGAGAACTAAGGTATGCCTGACCCAAGCCGTGGTGCTTTCAATCACCTCCTATGCGTTAAAAAGCTGGGCAACGAATAAAGAATACCAAAGAATACATGATGCCTTTGAATTATGGTATTACCAAAGAATACTGAATATACCTTGGACTGCCAAAAGAATGAACAAGGTGGGGCCAAGACGGCAGAGTAGTCAGACGCTTCCGGTGTTCCCTCTCACAACAAAGACCCGAAAAAACAAGTGAATCGATTATATAAGACAATCTAGGAGCCCTGAACATCAAAGGCAAAGTTGAGGAACTGGACTGAGTGGCAGGGGGAGGGAGAGATGGTTCAGAAGCAGCGAGGAGTTGCCAGACCTGACCTGGCAAGAACCTGAGCTCTTCAGCCCAGATCAGCTCATGGGTGAGCAGTGAGGCAGGCAAGCAGCGACGCTCGGGAGGTGTTTTCTGCACCAAAAGAGACCCAGCAGCAGCAGCAGACAGTCTACTTGGCCATCCAGAACCAGGGAGAAGCAGCCCTCGATCGGTGAAAGATAAGTACTTGTGTCCAGCCTATCGCGTGGATCAAAAACACCCACCTTAGGGAAAAAACCTCTCTCCCATTTACCTCCCAGCTTCCTGCTCTGCACTGGGTCCTGGACTGGCTTCAGCAATTGCCGAGTCCTCTGGGCAGGAAGTAGGACCCGTCACAGGCCCTGAGCCATTCTCCCGGCCTTGGAGAGTGAACAAATAAACAAACAGGGGAAAAAATAATCCGCTGGCTTCCCTAAACCAGGAACTTAGGGTAGGCACAGCTCCTTTGCCTAGGCACAGGCTTTGAGTGCCTTTCCCCCTGCATAGACATCTGTGGGCCCATTTCAACAGCATAGGCCCTCATTATCGCAGTACAACAGGGCATATACCTGAAGTCTAACTTGAATTGTTTCAGCTGTGAAGTGGCAGGTTTGTGACATTTGACACTGCTCTGCCCATTAAGCAAGGTCTTCACCTACCCACATCAGGGGCCAGAGGACTGGTGGCTCCACCCATGCCACCTAGCCACCTGCTACAGGGGCCCAAGAATGAGAGATGCCCCCCAGTCCTTACAGCCAACAGCAATAGGTGCTCATAACTGGCTGCAAAATCCACCCATCTACATGCTCTAGGGAACAGGGACACACTTTCCTCCTAGACACTCGGGGATGGCCGTCGACCCCTGCCTTTCTCAGCCTGTGTTTCCCTGCTGCAGCCAGATGCCTGTGCCTACACCAGTCACCCGTGCCTGTCTAGAACTGTAGGTGAGAGCCTGTACCACACTCTTGGTGGCTGACTACCTGGACATTTGAGCTGAATCCATACAGGAGGCGTGGGCAGACTCCTGGGCTCACATACTTATTGGCAGGTCTGGCCACCTAGGGGCAGGACACTGGAGCTTCAAGGGTGCTGGTGACTGGGCTAGCTCACATAAGCAGCCTATGCGGGCATTTCAAAACAAAACAACAAGCTAGGGCACGGTAAGCAAAGATAAATAAATATAATAACTTATTGATGGCTCAGAGACAACAGTCAATATTAAATCACATAAAGAGGCAGTCCATGATGGCTCCAGCAACCTCCCAAAATAAAGAATCTAGAAATTTTCCAGGGGAAGAAAATTTCTTGGAATTACCAGAAGCAGAATACAAAAGATTAATATACAGAACTCTTCAAAAGATTAGGAAGGAAATTAATCAAAACACACAACAGAGGAAATAAAAAAGATTAGAGAAGAGCATAAAGACAAATCTAACAGGCTGCAAGAATCCACAGAGAGACAGCAACCAGAAATCCAGAAGATAACAATAAAATTTCAGAATTAGACAACCAATAGAAAGTCATAGGAGCAGAATTGAGGCAATGGAAGTCAGAATTAGTGAGATTGAAGACAAAGCACTTAACACCAACTTATCTGAGGAAAAATCAGATAAAAGGATTTAAAAAAATGAAGAAACCCTAAGAATTATGTGGGATTCCATCAAGAGGAATAACCTACGAGTGACTGGAGTACCAGAACTGGGGGAAATAACAGAAAATACAGAGAGAATTGTTGAAGATTTGTTGGCAGAAAACTTCCCTGATATCGTGAAAGATGAGAAGATATCTATCCAAGATGCTCATCGAACCTCACGTAAGGTAGTTCCCAAAAGAAAGTCACCAAGACATATTATAATCAAACTTGCCAAAACCAAAGTTAAAGAGAGAATTTTAAGAGTGGCTAGGGATAAACAAAAAGTCATCTACAAAGGAGAGTCAATAAGAATAATCTCGGACTACTCAGCAGAAACCATGCAGGCAAGAAGGCAATGGGATAACATTTATAAAGCCTTGAAGGAAAAAAGAAACTGCGAGCCAAGAATTATATATCCAGCGAAACTTTCTCTCAAATATGAAGGTGAAATTAGGGCATTTCCAGATTAACAGAAGTTTAAGGAATTTTCAAAAACCAAACCAAAATGACAAGAAATACTAAAGGGAGTACTCTGGTTAGAAAATCAATAACATCAGATAACAACCTAAGACTAGAACACAGGACAGAGCAACCAGATATCAACCCAGATAGGGAAGGCACAAAAATAAATCAAAGCTAAAACACTGAAAATAGGGAAACAGACGTCAATATGTAAAAGATGACAACATTAAACAAAAAAGCGGGACTAAAAAATGTAGACATAGATTTCTCATATGGAGAGGAAATCAAGGTAATATAAAGAAATAAAAGACTGGTATAAACTTAGCAAAATAGAGGTAAATATTAAGGTAACCACAAAGGAAACTAACAATCCTACAAGTCAAAATAAAAAACAAGAAAAATATAAATACTCAGCAAATACAAAAGTAACACCGATGAAAAGAAAATACATAAAGAAAAATGACTCAGCACAGAAAATTAAGTGGAACAAAGAAACTGTGAACAACACACAAAAAAAGATATTAAAATTACAGCACTAAACTCATACCTATCAATAACTACGCTGAATGTAAATGGACTAAATGCACCAATAAAGAGACACAGAGTGGCAAACTGGATAAAAAAACATGATCCATCTATATGCTGCCTACAAGAGACACACCTTAGACTTAAAGACACAAACTAAAACTCGAAAGATGGAAAAA